GTTGGGTTGCTCAAATAGGACATTGTAAGTCGTCATTCACGCACGGTTGATGGACTTTGAAAAGTCTGTAAAGAGGAAAGGGAACAACACTGACTTTAGTGTTTCGCGCAAAAGTCTCCTGCAATAAAAACTGCACTGTAAATCTAATTGGCAATTACCAGAACCATCACATAGAACAACATCGATGGTAGAAAAAGGGGTTGTATAGTCCAGGCACTCATCCTGGTATCATTACCACAGATTCTAAACTTCCTTCTGTATACATTTTAGGAATGATGGGTAAACAGTGATTAAATTTAAAGATTCACTTTGAAAGATTTTTATTGTTTTTCTGTAGTTAAGCACAAAGATACACAAATGGACATTATGTAGTATGTCCTCCACGGGTATCGAAATACTGTTTTTATCGTTATAAGTCTTCAGACTTACCGCCGAGCCACTGGGAGGCATTTTGAAAGAAACATGTAACGCAAGTAAATTTTGTAAAAGAGGAATGGTTTAACGATATGTCTCGATGTGATGCTGTCACGAAATGGTTGAAAATAGAAGGGTAGACCTCAAACGTAAAATATAAATAAACGAGGAGTGGCAGACCTTCTATAGCTATCAATCTAACATATAACAAGGCATCATCTACAACCAGTTACCTAGCTATCAATCTAACATATAACAAGGCATCATCTACAACCAGTTACCTAGATATCAATCTAACATATAACAAGGCATCATCTACAACCAGTTACCTAGATATCTATCTAACACATAACAAGGCATCATCTACAACCAGTTACCTAGCTATCTATCTAACACATAACAAGGCATCATCTACAACCAGTTACCTAGCTATCTATCTAACATATAACAAGGCATCATCTACAACCAGTTACCTAGATATCTATCTAAAATATAACAAGGCATCATCTACAACCAGTTACCTAGCTATCTATCTAACATATAACAAGGCATCATCTACAACCAGTTACCTAGATATCTATCTAAAATATAACAAGGCACCATCTACAACCAGTTTCCTAGATATCCACTTAACGTATAACAAGGCACCATCTATAACCACTTACCTAGCTATCCACTTACCATATAACAAGGCACCATCTTCAACCAGTTTTCTATCTATCTATCTATCTAACATATAACAAGGCACTATCTACAACCAGTTGAAAGAGCTCAGGATCTTTCTAATATTTCTGTTTCTGTAACATCCAGCGATAAGTAATTTATACGTATAGATTCAATGAACCCAGGTTATTTGTCGTATG